CGATAGAAACAAAAGGTGAGGATGTTCCTTAAAATATCTTAACATATTTTCTTTTCACCAAAAAGTGAACCTGAACAAAAAATCATCTGCTTAAGCAACTGTATGGTTATAAACTACTAACACTTCCACAAATTGATTGATATCGTTATAAAATTGAATCTTTCAGGAAATACAGTGAAACCTCCCTTAATATGATGGTGAGGTCCATTTGCATAATTATCCTTGTTTTATTCTTTGTTTACAAATATGAATAATTAAGTTAGCTTTATAAATCATAAAAAGTTAGAGCTGGAGTAGACCTTAAAGATGGTCTGGTATAATTTTCCCTTTTGTACAAATGAAAAAACATGGCACTTCTTAGGTGTTTATCAGCCCACAGTAGTTTATATGGTGAAGGCTTCCAGCTAACTCTTCATTGATTAACTACATCTATAACACTTCTGGGTCAGATAGTATTTGAGGGAACTATCTAGTTTTGGCATCATTCTGGTAGGTTAATATTCAATCTTGAGCTTGACCGTATCAATAATCATAAAAACAAATATCCTCTGAACTGCTGAAAAGCTCAACAGATTCAGGGTCTAGCATAGGGTGTGTTCTACAACGCTGAAGCAATATATTTAAACAAACATTTCTGTAGTCCTTCCTGAAACCAACTGTAATCAGAGTAGATAAAGGAATTTCTTCAAGTAAGAGTCAAGGAAGCATAACTTTTATTAATATGGTAAAGTTCAGAGCTTGGCAGCAGCAATTTAAAACAAGGAAGCTCTGATTAGAACAAGCTGTGACATGTTGAGTCTGAAGCCTAAACTCTTCAGCAGACATTCTGCAGGCTTTTTAGCCACATCTTAGTGTACAAATATCAATTAATACCATTTTTCATAGTAAGATTATGGGAAAAGTGATTCTCATTTACAGAGCCCTCTTTCACAGTTTCATGTTTTTCTTCTCTTGTTTAGTAGACATAAGATTTAAAATTTTGTACGTATCTTTGTTGCTATAATTTTTATTAAGTATTTCTCGAACTTAATTGGCTTAACATTCACCTTTGCAGAGAGGATTTCGTTTCCGTTACGTATGTGAAGGCCCATCCCATGGTGGACTACCTGGTGCCTCTAGCGAAAAGAACAAGAAGTCTTACCCTCAGGTCAAAGTAAGTGTGTGGTAGCTCTCCTTCTGTGTGAACTCTGGAAATTTGATTTCCTAAGATTTCCAAGGAATTGCTTTAAATGAATACAGGTTGCCTTTGCCCCTAAGCTGAAATGTTCACATGATTATTAAAATCTTTAAATAGAAATTTGTCTGCTAGCAATAGAACTGACAGAAATTTCGTTAACATTTCCATTTAATAGAAATGTCTTCAACATTAGTTAACAAACTTTTACTATTTCTTGATCATCTTAAAGGTTTTTTAAAATTACATACTTCCTAAAACTTTAGTAAATCTTTGAAAGAAACAGTTAATTTTGACTCTTTGGAGATTTAGTGAAAAACCAAACAGATGTCTGAGTATATGGATTATATAGTATATTACTTAAGATTATGATTTCCAATCCAGACTTTGTTATTAGCTGTGTGGCTTTGAGTAGGTTTATACAATACTTCTAAACTTCAGTCTCCTAATGTATAAAATGCAAAAATATTAATAGCATATACTTCATAAGGTCTTTTAGAGATTAAATGAGAAAATGTATACATGTTCCACAGAGAATCTATAAGTACCCCAGGGCCTTGGCCTGAGCAGATGTGTAGCCCTCTTAGAATGAACTGCTACTGACATGCTAGTGGTATGCTTGGTCAAACCATATTCAGGCTTTTTGTTTATTTGTTGATTTGAGAATATTTTTCTCTAAGTTAATATGAGACTTTTAATTTCATAATATGGTACTATGTTTCCTAGATTGACTGATAATAAACTGAATCATTTTGCAGATAAACCCAGTCAACAATTATAATTTAGTCTTTTATAAAAGTTATTATTTGGTCAGTAATTCAAGGCTTGAACAAAACAGTTCTCGCTATGTGTGTCTGTGCCCCTTGGGATGTAACATACTTTTGGACTCAGTCTCTGTTGGTTTGTTTCTGTAAGTAGCAGGACTTCAGCAAAGGTGTGATGTAAAGAAATCTGTCTTTGGTTTTGCCAGCCTTGCATTTTGTTTCTTCCTTTTCCTCTTATCCGACCTCTAGGCCCAGGCCTGTCACATTTCTTATTCTTATTCCCAAATAAAAGACAAAATACCATGATGTCAGTCTTTACCTTTCAAGTGAACCTAACCCATATTATTTAGTATGGATCCTACCTGTCATATTTGCATTTTAAGTCACTTAGCTCCAATTGTGGAATGAAAGATGTTTTTTCTATTAAGGGTGATTAGGTAGATAAATATGATGGCTTTAGTCCAAAGAAGCAGACCGTGGACTTATGGCCTCAAGTCCTTTAGAACCTTGATGAGGAATGAGGAGCAGCAATAAAGAACTAATTTGCACTTATTAAACACCAAAGACTTGCCAAGTGCTTAACATAACATTATCTCTTTTAATTTCATAAAAATCCCACAAGGTCAAAGGTGTAATGCCTGTGAACCCAAACAGACTCAGAGAGAGGAATTATAACTGGCCTTTCTCACAAGACAAGTGGCTCTGCATCCTACAGCAGGCCAGTGAACCTCTCAGCTAGAATGTGTGCATTTGGGGTGCCGGGAGCAGGAAGATAAGGAACAAATTATGGGAGGACAATGTTGTAAAAGGGCATGGTGAATGATAACTCTTGAAAACAAGGGAGATAGAGGCTCAGGGGTCAGTGGGTACTCAGGTATTGGGGAGCCAGGCCCAGAATTTACCTTTTTAACACATGTGTCTGTGTGTCATATGTATAAATATTGTGTGTTTATGTATGTGTATATTTGTGAGAAGGAGATTGAAAGACAGACGTTATCAGCATTGACACTGACTATAATGACTAAAGAATTTAAGTGAAAAACTGGGAGTTTTTTCTGACTGGCTTGGCACAAAAAATATAAATTATGGTATTTTCATGAACTGTTTACTTAGATTGCTTCAGTATTTTGTGACTAAGTAACAATTTGCTAACAAATGCATGGCATTAACTTTCTTATAAATTTATTGGCTAAGAAAAAACTTTATACATCTGTTTACTCCCAGTCTTCATTCATCTTTCTCATGTAGAGGTAATCATCTACTCAAGAACATATTGTTGCCTCAGTCACAAAATAATTTACAAATGAAACAACTTAAGAGGTATTAGATGTTCTTGTAGAATGAGTTGCTATATCAAAGAGTTTAGTACTTACTGGGAAATATAGATATGTAAATGACTAATAAAGCAGGTTCACCTACAGCCACATTATTTCACCATATTATATATTTTCTATTCACTAATTTAGTATCCATTTATTAAGCATTTAATCAACTTGTAAGAAGAGGAGGAACTTAGAGGTTAGAGAATCTGCCTGTACAAGCTGTCATTGTTCCCTTAGCTTGTTATTGTTAACTGAAAATGGAAACGGTTCTGCTGGTCCTAACAGTTAAAGAAAGCAATAAGAAAGAGACAATAGCCAGTTTTTTTTTTTTTCCAGAGCTCTTCTCCAAATATCCCTTTGTTGTTTCTGCTCAGGATGACCTTTAAGTTTGCAAAAAATTTTGAATCACATTTCCCTCTAATATTTAAGCTGAGGAAAAAATTGTTCTCCATGCATCTTTCTTATCAGGAAGATATTTACAATTGTATGTGTCTTTTCTGTGGTACTTTACGAAGCTCCTGCTCTGCCAGAGACTGTAAGGGAAACAGTTGGATGGATTACATCTAGAGATTCCCAAACTTGGCATTAGTGACATTTGAGGCTTGAAAATTCTGTGTTATGGGAAGCAGACTTACATATTATAGAATATTTAGCAGCATCCCTGGCCTTAACTTACTAGATGCTAATAGGATCCCTATAATTGTGACATCCAAAAAGTCTCCACATTGACAAATGTCCCCGGGGGCGGAGAATCCCCCGTGTTTGAGAACCACTGATGTGGATGCAACAAGGAATCACCCTTAACCTTACCCGTTTGTGTCCTTTTCTACTATAAAGTTGTCTCTCATAGATTACATAGAATTGTCCAAGTATATTATTTTATAAACATGTGCTTTTCTTGATTATTAGTAGGTATTTCTTATTTTCAAGATGATGATCATGGTGTCTGTGTAATTTATCTTAGAAGATCAGAGTTGGTGTACCTGGATGCGAAGCAGAAAGATAGAAAAGAGAAAATATGTATCTTCAACATTTTATATTCTACGATAACTTCACACCTAAAAGCTAATGTGGGAGTTCTACTGACTGTCTGTTAAAAACAATTATAGAAGAGAAAGTGAAAGTGGAGAGTTAGGTCCACTGTGTGTGAACAACGGGAGGATCTATGGAATGGTGCTTTCAGGTGGGCAAAAGCCTCATGGAGGGTGCCCCACACTCAGCCCCAGAATCCAGAATCCATTCCCACAGGAACTTCAGAGGGAGGGCATTTACATTTACAGGGAAGAAATGATACTTCTGAGCCTTACATTTGCCACATATTCATTAAGTGCATTTGTTCAGGCTTAAAGCAACAATACTAACAAATACATGCATTAACTAAAAGCAAAATGCTATGGGCTCCGCTTTTCCTGAGCTACAGCCTCTCTCCCTCCAGCCTCACGCCCTGTCTTACTGTCATGCCTTTGTGAGAGCACCATCACTCTACGGTGCCTGCAGAGGAACCTGGAAACGCTGGTAGTTCGGTGTAAACTCGGTCATATGGAGTTGGCAGGAAAGAGTCAGAGGCCAACTTGAAAGCTTTAGGGGCTGGCTGTGGTTTCCAGGTTGTAGACACCAAACTATACTTTATAGAACATGTAAAAATATAACCTGTATGGGTTACTCTCTTACTGATTGTCTAAATTTGATGCCTCACATTAAATTTTAAAACCAACTCTAGAAGTCTGCTCAAATCCTGCATTTTCTTTTTTTTTTTTCCTCCTTTAATAGTCTTTAATATCGCTCATTTGCAATCATATGAAAATCCATCAGGATCAGTCATGTTGCACAATCCCTAAAGGATAAAACTGAGGGAACTCATGGATAATTTTCACAGCTTCATTGTAAAGTCCAAGATCAAAAGGATGGTTATCTTCTTTCAACTGGACATAAGATGAACACATGATGGTCGCCTTAGCGGTTACTTTCCCAACCACTTCCATAATTCCAGATATTTCTTCATCAAGAGGTTCCATCAACTCGATGGTTCCATTTTTTCCTTCTCCATCTGAAAGAATAAACATTTTTCCGGAGGGATGAATCTTTTCCACCTTCCCTACGAAGCAGACAGGCTTGTCAATGAACTGAATTAGCATGCTGGCGTTGATGCGCGCCCTGGGCAGCTCCATCATATCCACCATGATTATATGGTCCAAGACTGCGGCGGGCGGGAAACCCAAGAAAGACTGAAATTGTCAAATCCTGCATTTTCTACTGGAAATGTGGCCCATGCATAAACCCTGTTTCGTATAGGTGTAGTCTTGGCTTACATACCCTCTTACCATGTTGAGATTATTTCTAGAACTCAGGCTACTGAACCATCGCTGCCTGTTTCTTTCACATAGCGAAGAAGAAAATTTCCATTTAGCTTCCTGTCTTGCTGTGCAAATCTTCATTTTTTTTTTAAATTATAAATTATTTCAAGCATATAGTTTAAAAATTGATGTAACAGAAACCATGTACTTCAACCTAAATTTAGTAGATACTAGCATCTTACCATATTTGCTTTTGATAGTTCTCTCTCCTCTCTCAAATAAAAGAGTTACAGCTATCCACCACTTTGTCCTCCTTCCTTCTCCTTGGGTAAACTGCTACTCTGAACTTTCATTCCCCAAGATGTTTTTATATTTTTACTACGTAAGAATGCATCTATAAATACTGGCATTTTCAAGAAAATTAATTTTTACTAACTTCAACCCAAATTTGCCATTGTATACAATGGCTCCTTTTCAGGGTAAACGTGGGTTAAAACTGCACTCCATTGAAGAATAACTGGTGCTCACTTTGATACTATTGATTCCTCTTTGCTGTCTAAATAAAAAATATATTTATTCACAGTGTAGAGTTTATACTGACTCTTATAGCAAAATATATATATATATATATTCAGAGAAAAATCTAGGGAAAGTAAGTATGCAGACTAACTCTTATGTCTTGTCCTTTCATAAGAAAAGTTTCCTGTCATTAAACATTTTATAATCTACTATACTGCCTATAAAATTTCCCTTTAAAGTTTTTTCCATTCTAATTTCATCATGGAGCGCCTAGTGGGAGAGGCTGGCAGAAAAGCACAGGAACCTTCCTCTAGGCCAAGCTTGTCCCTGCCTGTTTTTGACTCAGCAAGGAGTGCCAGAGAAGGCTCACTTCCCTCTTTTTCCCGAAAGCTGCGCATGAAGTTTTAAAAATCAAACTGCCTTCTGTTTCACAGAGGTAGGTGACAAGAGGCGTAGCCTCATGGGACTTCAGAAACTCTCACCAATTTTCCTCTAGAATGACCAGAAAGCACCCCCTCACATCCTCAACTAATGTGACACATCCTCCTGTGTGGTCCACTCTGCAAAAAAACATAAATTGACAAGAATGACTTTGATTGTAAAATACAAATAGCTTACCAGTTAGTATTCTTAGTTTCTCTTTAGTTATAAACATCAAATGCAAGGGACTTGAAACACAGCTGATAGAAGTGTAACTATTTTTAATCAAACATTTTCTGAAAGATGGTTCTCACATATGTTGTCTTTCTTGAGCATTTTATGTTGAGTGGAAGACATGTATTGAAATGTTTAGGTCAACAACAGCTTTTTGTTGTCCCCTTATACTACTGGTTAAAAAAAAAAAAAAAAGTCTTCACTCTTTGTACCTTTCCTTAAAAATCCTAAATGTTAAATTTCTGTCGGGTTCAAATAAAGACTATCCGATCTACTGTGGCATTTGAGGATATCACATATCCTTGCATAATCTCCCTTTCCTTTGTATAGACTTGTCTGATTTAGGAGGTTTGCCATTCTAAGAATCTAGTTGGAGTACTAATTTTAAATAATTTAATCTGACTCAATTACTTAAAACAACAGGGGAGAAAATCACCAATAATCAGCTGGGTGTGCATATAGAACCCAGTTCATATTATTTATTAGGATTTCCATTGGACCCCTAAACTATTCACTGCACACATATGTTAATTAGGGAAAATAACTATGTCCCCTATGTACAATATACCTTGTGCTTTTCACGAGAAAAACTGCTTATTGAATGGAAGGGCTTTGTAACCTGGGGTCTATGGATCCCTGTTGGTAGTTTCAGAGGATTTTTAGACTCCTGAATTTATATACAGACTTATACATGTATGTACCTGAATTTTTTCTTGGGAGATGAGTGTAACTTTTTATCAGATTTTCAAAGGGAAAGACTTAAACATGGTTAAGAATCACGCTATAGCTTATATCACTTTAGCCTTTTGATAGCAGCTATCTTTTAAAATGATCTGTATAATGTCTTTTCAGTTTTCTTTTTATTCTTGCATTTTTAATCAATTTTAAATGATGTGAAATGTTTTATGTTGCACAACACATAGAGAAAGCCTCCCTTCAGTTTTCCAGTAGGTGGAAAAAAGGTGAAACTGTATTGATGGTCAAAAGGGTTGAATAGGCTCTACTGCATTTTCTTTCCTCCTCTTCCATACATTTGCAGATTAAGCATGAAGCTCACCATTGGTGATAGAAGCCAAAAGAGAGAAGGCAATACATCGAACAAATATTGATTGAGCACTGTGTCAGGTACTGCTCTAGACAAGCAGACAAAACTCCCTCCCATATGTAACCACAATCTAGACTTTCAGGTAATTTTTGTTGCAACTAGTTCGGAAGTAGTATATTTTGTCCTAAAATATTACTTTGTAAAATCGTAGACCTCTAAATCCACTGTATGTGTTCAAAGTTACCACTATAAAGTGGAGAAAGCTACTCATTAGAGGAAACTTCTAGCACAGATAATAACTGGGAAGGTTAACTCTTAGAAATTATGAGGAGATCTCTATGCTTCTTGAATTTAAGAATTGTCTGAATTTTACATTTTGTTTTGTCAGTTCTGGCTTGGTGACCTTCCTCTGTTGGCCATTCTCATTTTCCTGCCCTCCACTCTTCCCTAACACATGATTATTTCTGGGACCACTGTTCAATCCAAAACAAATCTCTGATGGCTTCTTCTAAACCAGTGGTCTCAGTCTGAAGATTGTGTAGTGGGGTGACTCTCGCTATTCCATTCTGGAGTCTTGGCCTCACAAACTCACATACTGGCAATTCGCCTGGATAAGGTAAGGGGAACACACAGAAACACCAAGGTCCCCACATGTGTTCGACTGCCTCCTCCACAGACAAGTTGTTTTTCAACCCATCTTCAGGTCCAGAGGTGAAGCCGGAGGCTACCCTACAGTCTAAATCTTTTCTCCCCACCCTCCAGGTGGATTCCAAATAAAAAGTCTCCAGCCTACCTTTACCTCCCTGGGGTCCCATGAACATGGGCTAGAAAGTACATGCAGACTTTCACAGACAATGCTTTTTGCCCTTAGGTCCCCTTCCACCCAACAGAATGATTATAAGAATATCTTGCTGTGCATACTTACATCATCTCATTTAATCATCACAATAATCCACTGATGCAGGTTCTGTGATCCTCATTTTATAAATGAGGAATTTGAAAACTAGAGAAATTAAGAAGCTTAGCCTGAGTCTCACACCCTTTTAGAGATGGAGCCCAAGATTTCAGTTCATGCCATATGGTTTAAAGGCCTGCACTCTTAATCATCATGGAATGCCATTCATTATCATAATATTAAAGATCTGTCTCTACTTTGTAACAATCTTTTAAATCTGTGGTTCACAATCATGGGTGGGCTTCAGAATTGTCCAAAAATGTTCTAACCACAGAGACGTATGGGACCCACTGCACACTTGCTAAATCACAGTACATCATCTAGCCAATCTTGGATTCTGTAATAATTCTATGATGGTTTCTAAGAACACGTCATTATATAATGGCAACATATTACAACAGATAATAGGTATTCAATGTATAACCATGGAATAGAATATTATGCCACTGTGTTTTAAAAAGATAATTAAGAGTACACTGCAAAAGATGGAAAACTGCTTTCAACATAATATTAAGAAAAAAACCTCGGCCAGTCACAGTGGCTCCTGCCTATAATCCCAGCACTTTGGCAGGAGGATTGCTTGAGCTCAGGATTTTGATGCCAGCCTGGGCAACATAGTGAGACCCTGTCTCTATAAAAAATTTTTTTCAAAGAAAAAAAGCAGGATTTCAAATTATTCATATTTGTATTGATTACAAATATTAGCTTCTTTTTATAAAGCCCTAGGTGGAAGCATATAGATGAATCTTTAGCTTTATTTGTCTATCCATGACTTAAAGTAGATTAGTTAACACTTGACTCCACCTTGAGTAGCAGGACGCTGGACTGATGGAAAAAAAAAAATATGTGAAGCTATCTTACCTAATTACAGTTTCCACCATGTTTTAGTGGAGATAATGAAGACATAGCACTATATAAACAGATTTTCTCAGGAGATCTATGGGAGGCAGTGCATTGTGGCTCTCAAACCTTACTATGCATAAAAATCTCCTTCAAAATGTATTTAAAATGTCAATTTTATTCCATTTCCAAAGCCTGGTAGAGTAGATAATTCTGCTACTACTCTACACTTGGAAACGCTAGAACAAAAATATAACATTGTCTTTAATGCATAGTTGAGTTTATTAGAAAGTATGAAAAGTACGCAGGAGCCATAAAACAAAAGAAAAATTTGGGAAAACAACAGGATATGGATGGATTTTGGGGCCACAGCTACCCTGGAAATATTTGCTGACCTAGATTAATTGAGAAACTTGGCTTTTAACAGCTTCCTAGAGACAAAAGATAAGACCTTGGACCTTTCCAATCTGAGGAATTGAAACTGCAATCCCCCACTTAAGTTAGGACTCTCTCAGGGCTATAGTTTCTGTTGATGGGTGATCCTCACACAGAGGTGTTGAGGAAGTTGCTTGTCTCAGCGTAAGGGAATCAGAAGATAAAATGCCTTTCTCGAAAATCAGTAACTACAGGCCCAGTTCTTACAGATACAGAGTTAAGTTTATGCTCCCTGAATTGAGTAAGAAACCCCAAGTCTAGAAATGAAGTGGTTCCACATTGGTGATACCCTCAGAGCCTTGCAGAAGCACATGAAAATGTATGTAGCTCAAAGAATCACGAGTTCCTGATTAAAAAAAAAAATTAGAAAATGTGTATGTAAATAAGCCACTCTGTTTTAAGCATTGACAGAAAAATGAAAAGCAGAATTAAATTCCCAGAATCTTCAGATAATTGAATTACCAATTGTTTGATATATAAGTACAAAATAAGCTTGGAATAGAAAACAGACCAGGCAGAATGAAAATAAAACCAAGTAGAATTTTTAAAATTAAATGTGAAATACTTAATTAAAATGATTCAACATAGTTAACATGGATAATTTGAAAGAAAGGGTGAGCTGGCGGGTACAAGAGAAGGCTTAAGAGGTGTCAAGTTGAAGTCCTAGAAAGAGGTATTACAACTGCAGATTTCTGGTTCCACATTTACAGGTTCTAGGTCTGGGGTGAGGTTTAGGTGGTTGTGGACCACACTTTTAGGTTTTAAAGTGTTGGCCCTAAAGGCATTTGGTTCGGGGCTGAACGTGATGTTGATTCCTAGTTTTGCCTCTCACATTATTACTTAACTTCATTAAGCATCAGCTTTTTCATCTATAAAATTGAAAAAATAATGCCTACTTCATAGGATATATATGTAAAGCAAGTTATTCAGTACATGGCACACAGTTAGCACTTAAAAATGATAGTTGGTTTTATTTTTATGTAACCAAACACACTACTACAGATATTGAGTGGCAGCTTTGCTGGTTCATTTACAGATTGATGGAGCTACACAAAATCTTCACCAGTCTATTAATTCATTTTTAGTACAGTCTCTCTAATCAGTATTGCTTCCACTGTATATTTATATATATATATATTCTTCTATATGGGGTTATTGAGATAAGAGATCAGATGCTGTGTCAACAGTTTTCTTTTAGATGCAACACATGATTTCTTATGAAAATCTCATAGGTAAGAAACCAGAAAGGAATTTATTAAATTCTTGTTAGCCTCCTTAGTTGTATTAGTTTCCTAGGGCTATGTTTTAATTTAGGATACTTATGATAGAGAGCACCCCTTGAGTAGGAGAAATACAATATGGAAATAAAGATTTTATAACTTACTGGTCCTGGGAAGCACACAGCATGCCAGGAGGCCACACACCAAGGTCAGGGAGCATGTGGAGAAAGAGAGAGAAAGGAACTCATGGGCCATTGTCTTTACTGGGTCCAGGACATTATCCAAACAGGAACAGGTTTCCCACAGGGAGTTTTAATAGGTGGATTTCAAGCAAGCAGGTATGAGTTCCAGGAGGTCACACTGTGACTAAGAAATCACTGTGGCATATCTGCACAGCCCATGCAAGATGTGAGCATCAGTGAAGTCAGATAAGTTTTATGTAGCTGGCCCATGGGGAGGCGATCACCAGGTGGCCATTGTATGATGCAGATACCTAGATCGGCCACATAGAAGAACTGGGAGGAGGTGTAAAACTAGCAACTGTGTTGAGGGTCACTGAGCCCTGCTTTTGGCATGAGAATGTCCAGCTTATATTCAAAATGGATGCAAAGGCAGCATAAAATTACAGGCATTCACTGCCAGCTGCCATAACAAGTTACCACAAACAAGATAGTTTAAAGCAACAGAAATTTATTCTTTCACAGTTCTGGATGCTAGAAGTCCAATATCATGCTCTTTGCAGGGCCATGCCCCCTTTGAAGCCTCTAGGCAAGAATCCTTCCTTGCCTGTTTCTAGCTTCTTACGGCTGCTGACAATTTATGGCAGTCTTTGACTTATAGTTGCATCATTCCAGTTTCTGTCTCTGTCTTCACATGAGTGCTGTCTTCTCTCTGTGTCTCTATATCCAAATCTCCTCCTTTCTCTTAGAAAGAGACCAGTCACTGTGTTTAGGGCATCCATAACCCAAAGTGACCTCATCTTAACCAATTATAATTGCAGTGACCCCATTTCCTGATAATATAATACTTTGAGG